GTATATAGAGTGAATCTTTAGCTGTATGTTGAGTGAATCTTCCAGTAGTGATTCAGTATTCAACTTTACTCGTCATATTCACCATTGTTCCAACACTAACACGAGCGGTACGACTTCTCTGTTGACAATCCACAATGATTCTTCCAGCCTGTGTGTGAGAGAGAGAGAGAGAGAGAGAGATGTTGGCAGTTGCTGGAAGTCTTGAAGCTGTTTCAATGAGTTGCTTGCTTTTCCTTGGCTGGAGATAGTGTGTAAGTTCGATTGCAAGTAGAGAGAGAGAGAGAGAGAATGGGTTAGGTTAGGTTAGGTTAATGTTAGGGTGTTTAATCATCTGGTGAAATAAGCTCAGGTGTGTCATATCTTCAGGTGTTCCAATCTTTTTATGTAGTACCTGTGCACCTTCACACACACACACACATGCCCTGACGCGAGGTGCACTATACCATTTGCAACCACACATGACTTTTATATATATATGTGTGATACACCTGCCTCCTCCTGACGCTGATACCTGTAATTAACCTTTGTGTTTTATCATTCACGTATAAAACACAGGTAAATCAACGATATATTACGTGTCCTTAACTAAACTGTAGCACCAATGGCGTCACTTGTTTGTTGACTGAGAATTTCTTTGTATTTATTTCCTGTGCGACAAAACGAGTCACAGTGACCGGGTTTGTTGACTTAGAATTTCTTTGTATTTATTTCCTGTGCGACAAAACGATATACAGCGACCGGGCTTGTTGACTTAGAATTTCTTTGTATTTATTTCCTGTACGACAAAACGAGGTTGGAGTATGAGGATCAGTGAATGTTCCTGAGCGCCTCCTGTATATCATTGGAGCAACGGGGATTACACTTCGTATCCGTGTGTGGCTTCATAACAGGGGACAGGGCGTTCTCTCATCTCTCTTGATTCTCTCTGTAATTAGACAATAAATTATCTCCCCACCTAATTACTTACCTGAGAAAGAAAGCAACAATGTGTGTTTTATTTTATTTCTTAATTTAGCAGGAAGACAGTGAGGTAATTGAGAGAGTGGCAGACAGAATGAGACAGAAAGTGGCAGAAAGGGACAGATTGTGGCAGAATGAGACAGAAAGGGACAGATTGGGGCAGAAAGGACAAAATGAGAGAGAAAGGGACAGAATGAGAGCGAAAAGGGACAGAATAAGACAAAAAAAGACGGAAAAAGACAGACACTACATCACCCCACAGTGAGTATACAGTGTCTTAGAGACCTTGGAACGAAAGACTACAGCTACAAAATAGAAATACAAAAAACATATAAGATTGGATCCATCAAGTCTAGGTACTACAGGGCACTTGATGTCTACAGTGAGATGAGGTAGAGAAGGTGAGAGAGAGACAGCGAGGGACTTTCTCAGTTATGTAGTAGGGACAGAGTGAGAGATTATCTGAGGAATACTACAGGTCCCTCCCTCTTCTCTCCCTTCTATCCCTCCTCTCCCCTCCATCACCACACCCTCCTCCTCACCACACCCTCTCCCCTCCAACACACCATCCCTCCACCACACCCCTCCACCACACCCTCCCTCCATCACCACACCCTCCCCCTCCATCACCACACCCTCCATCACCACACCCTCCATCACCACACCTCCATCACCACACCTCCATCACCACACCTCCTCCATCACCACCTTCCACCACACCTCTTCCATCACCACACACCTCCACACACACTCTCCATCACCCTCATCACCACACCCTCCATCACCACACCCTCCCTCACTATCACCCAAATCGTGTGTGATCGATCACCTGAGGAGGACCAGCCAAGGTCAGTCACTGTGGTGGTTGCCCCTGTTACCTCATCATCAACCCCTCACACTCCACTCACTGCCTCCACTTACTGCCTCCACTTACTGCCTCCACTCACACTCCAGTTAAGTGATGGAGGGAGGGAGGGAGGGTGGGGGAGGGGAGGGGTAGGGGAGGAAGGGAGGGTGTGGTGAGGAGGGAAGAAGGGAGGGTGGTGAGGGGAGGGAGAGGGGTGGGAGGGAGGTAGGGTGTAGGAGGGAGGGAAGAAGGAAGGTGTGGTGAGGGGTGGAGGGGTGTGGTGAGGGGAGGAAGGGAGGGTGTGGTGAGGAGGTGGGAGGAAGGAGGGTGTGGTGAGGGAAGGGAGGGTGGTGAGGAGGAAGGAAAAAATAATACTAACAAAAACGAAAACAAAATAACACCAAATAAAATGCATCAACAAAAGGTAGCGAAGTGACACAACATTTACGAGTGACTCTACGGTTGTGGGCGAGTTAATCAAATCAAATTCCGATAAATGAAATATTCTTTTTTGTTTTTTACCACAACTTTCAGAGAGGAGAGGAGAGAGTGGTGACAGAGAGAGGAGAGAGAGAGTGGTGACAGAGAGAGGAGAGAGTTCTGTTGGCAGAGAGAGGAGAGGGTGGGTGACAGAGAGAGGAGAGGGGAGAGGGTGGTGACAGAGAGAGGAGAGGAGAGGGTGGTGACAGAGAGAGGAGAGGGAGGGTGGTGACAGGAGAGGGGAGAGGGAGGGTGGTGACAGGAGAGGAGAGTGGGTGACAGAGAGAGGAGGAGGGAGAGTTCTGTTACTGAGAGAGAGTTCTAACAGACAGAGAGAGGAAGGAGGAGTTCTGTTAGTGAGAGAGTTCTAACAGACAAAGAGAGAGAGAGAGAGAGGGTTCTGATAAAGAGAAAAAAAGAGAGAGATAGAGAGAAAGTTTAGAAAGTTTAGAATCAGTGGTGATGGTTTTTGATCACGTCAGCTACTACACATTTGGCTCCCACAACTTCAGGTAAAACTCCCTACTCAGCGTTATACCGTCCCGATACTTTTTTTTTTGGTGTTACTGAAGTTAAAATTCACTTTTCTATCATGTGTGACAATTTAAATAGTTGGGATTAGAGGGATTTGTCTTTGTGGGTCTTTTGTGGAGTAGAATAAGAAGAAGGGCGATAACAGCAAGAATAATAGTCAAGAAAAATGAACAGGAAGAATAATAATAACAACAAGAAGAACAACACGAACTGGAAGAATAAGGACAAGAAGAACAACAACTAAATATAATGGGAAAAACAAGAACGAATACAACAACAATGACAACAACAAAAAATACTGGAAGAACAACACGAACAAGAAGAAGGAAAACAACAACAACAACAACAACACAACTCTACCTGTGACCTATAAAGGAGTGAATCCCCACCCACACCCCCACACACACCCCCACCCCACCCCCATCCCCCACCCCCCACACACACAAAGACAGAACCAAATCACACCCATGTTAATTAATACACCTGAAATGGCTCCCACTTTGATGCTGTTAAATCTTACTTGTGAAATGTCATTGGGAAATATTTTAGTGTTGCTTTAACGCGAAATACTGTACAGCGATAGAGGGTGATTATTTTGTAGCTAGGGGTGAGGGAGGGGGTAGGGAGGGTGGAGGAAGGGGGGAGGGAGGGGTGAGGGGAGGGGGGGAGGGTGGGGAGAGGGAGGGGTGGGAGGGTGGGGAGGGGGTAGGGAGGATGAGGGAGGGGTGGGAGGGTGAGGGAAGGGGGTAGAAGGGTGAGGGGAGGGGGTAGGGAGGGTGAGGGGGAGGGGTGGGAGGGTGAGGGAGAGGGGTGGGAGGGGGTAGGGAGAGATGGAGGGGGTGGGGGTGGGGAGGGGTAGGGAGGGAGAGGGGTAGGAGGGTGGGGGGTAGGGAGGAAGGGGGTAGGAGGGTGAGGGAGGGAGGTGAGGAGGGTGAGGAGAGGGGTAGAATGGGGGAGGAGGGGAGTTCAGTGTGTGAGCCAGACTTCGCCAGGGTTGTCGTTCATATGGTGAGTTGAGTTTTGCCAGTGTTGTCTGTTTGTTAGTGATAGTATGAGTCAATGATGTCTTATCGTGCAATCATCTGTCTGTCTGTCTGTCTGTATCTCTTTATCTCTCTCTCTGTCTTCCATCTCTCTCTCTCTCTCTCTCTCTCTCTCCACTGGATGTCTATTAATTGTACATCATCTCAATCTTCACCCGGCCTCCATCAACGCCCGGCCGGAAATAACCATCAACTGACATTTTATTTTTCTCACCCTTGAAGGTCAACCGTAGTGAAGATTGGAGGCTCTCAAGGTCGACCGATCTATAGTTTACGCCTTGTTAACATCACTTTATAAACCTCTGTCTTCCAACCTCTACCCTCCAACCTCTACCCTCCAACCTCTACCCTCAACCTCTACCCTCCAACCTCTACCTCCAATTCTCCTCCAACCCCACCCTCCAACCTCTCCTCCAACCTCTACCTCCAACCCTCCTCCAACCTCTCCTCCAACCTCTACCCTCCAACCTCACCTCCAACCTCTCCTCCAACCTCACCTCCTCCAACCTCTCCTCCTCCTCACATGTCTCACCACTTCACAATCCCCATCTTTCTTCCTCAAATCCTCTTCTCTCCTCCTCCTCCTCCTCCTCCTTCTTCTTCTCACCTACTTACAGACTTTACCTCCTCCACTCCTCTCCCACTCCCCCTCCCACTTCACTCCACCTCCCACCTCCCACTCCCCCACTCCCTCCCACCTCCCCACTCCCCCCCCACTCCCTCCCACTCCCACTCCCCACTCTTCCCCTCCCACTCCTCCCACTCCCACTTCCTCCCACTCCCCCACCTCCCACTCCCCCACTCCTCCCACCCTCCCCTCCCTCCCACTCCCCCATCATCATCAAGAAAGATACAAATGAGACTTTGTTATTTCTTTAAAGACTCTTAAGTACCACTCTATAGCTGTTGTTGTTGTTGTTGTTTCATAGTTGGGAGGGAGGAGAACGCCAGGGTGTTGTTCTTCGCTCAAAGGGCATTATGACGTCGACCCTCTCGCTGGTTGTTACAAATGTCTCTCTCTGTCACGCCAAATAATATAATGTTTGAAATGAATCTGTGACTGTGTAGTGTGAATGGGACCCAAGACACGCACACTGTTAAGACGAAGAAGAGGAGAAGAGAAGAAAGGGAGATGATGATGATGATGATGATGATGATGATGATGATGATGATGATGATGATGAGGAAGATGATGATGATGATGAAGATGATGATGATGATGATGATGATGATGATGATGATGATGATGATGAGAAAGATGATGATGATGATGATGAGGAAGATGATGATGATGATGATGATGATGATGATGATGATGATGATGAGGAAGATGATGAGGAAGATGATGATGATGATGAGGAAGAAGATGATGATGATGATGATGAGGATGATGATGATGAGGAAGATGATGATGATGATGATGATGATGATGATGATGATGATGATGGAGGAAGATGATGAGGAAGATGATGAATGAGGAAGAAGATGATGATGATGATGATGAGGATGATGATGATGAGGAAGATGATGATGATGATGATGATGAGGATGATGATGATGAGAAGATGATGATGATGAGGAAGATGATGATGATGATGATGATGATGAGGATGAGGATGATGATGATGAGGAAGATGATGATGATGAGATGATGATGAGGATGATGATGATGAGGAAGATGATGATGATGAGGAAGATGATGATGATGATGATGATGATGATGATGAGGATGATGATGAGGAAGATGATGATGATGATGATGATGATGAGGATGATGATGATGAGAAGATGATGATGATGATGATGATGATGAGGAAGATGATGATGATGATGATGATGAGGAAGATGATGATGATGATGATGATGATGATGAGGAAGATGATGATGAAAAAAGGAAGAAAAAAGAGAAAAGGAGAGGAAGAGAAAAAGAAAGATTAGAAGAAGAAGAATATGAAGAAAGAAGATTACTATAAACTAGGCACAATAATACATCACATTAAGGTCATATTCCCTTTAATTCCCCCCGCATAATTATTCTCACATCCATCATATCTTTCCCTATAACCTAACCTAACCTAACCTAACCTAACCTAACCTCACCTAACCTAACCTAACCTAACCTAACCTAACCTAACCTCACCTAACCTAACCTCACCTAACCTAACCTAACCTAACCATTATATATTATGATCTTTCTCACCACTGTATAGAGTAACTAACTTACACTGAGGAACATAGTGTGGTCAATGAGAGAGAGAGAGAGAGAGAGAGAGTTACTTGTATTGCTTGAGGATGGGAGGTGGGTAGGAGGATAGGGGAGGAAGAGGAGAGGGTTGAGGATGGAGGACAGAGATTACAAGTGAATGAAGAAGAAGAAAAAGAGGAGGAAGAGGTGGTACTGGCTGCGGCTGGTTGCTTCTTCTGTAGAGATTTTTAAGACTTAAGAGGAAACTGAATGGCCAAGAGGCTCCTCGTCTCAACCAAGAGGCACTGTGACACTGAGGATCTCTCTCTCACTACCAGCCAGACCCATCTTCAATCTTTCCTCTCGCCTCATCTGCAAGTCTTCTCCCGTGTCCTGTAAGACTGGGGAACACCTGTCAAGACTTGGCCCAATCGTCCTCTTGAGACGTGGCGTGTAGATAGAGTCCGTTTGACTTACCTCTTGCCTTACTTTGCGTCATCGTCACTCTTGCGTCATCGTCTCTCTCTACAGCCAGGTAAACTACAGTATTGAGACATACACTTTTCTATACTTGCGCTTAAGAGACACATCGATATTCACACTGATATGTAGTAACCAACACTGATATTAATTTATGAGAGGAAATTGAATGTTAGATCTGCATTGTGTCAAGGTCATGGCTACAACTATAATACATTATCATATAGTGTAGGTTTTGAAAAGACCAAACACCACGTATATGTATGTATTATTATGTATGTATGTTTGTATGTATGTATTATTATGTATGTATGTTTGTATGTAAACATTTATTATATATTATCATTTTTAAGTGACCGAGTGAGAGTTGGATAATAATAATAATAATAATAATACAATAATAATACTTGTTTACTTATATATTTAGTTTAACTTTAACGTACTCCTTGGTGACTGCTGGACCCCTCCCTCCTCCCTCCCTCCCCCTCATCGTTCCAAGTGGGTCCAGATTGATTGATTTGTCGTAAAAGTTTCCTTCGAGTGTTTGTTGATCATTAATTCAACAACTCTTGGTATGTTTGTGTGTGTGTCCTAATGTTGAGTTGATTAATATTACTGTGTTTTGATTGGTGGAGTGGAATAGATGATGTTGAGTTGATTAATATTACTGTGTTTTGATTGGTGGAGTGGAATAGATGAAGTTGAGTTGATTAATATTACTGTGTTTTGATTGGTGGAGTGGAATAGATGAAGTTGAGTTGATTAATATTACTGTGTTTTGATTGGTGGAGTGGAATAGATTAAGTTGAGTTGATTAATATTACTGTTTTTGATTGGTGGAGGAATAGATGAAGTTGAGTAATATTACTGTGTTTTGATTGGTGGAGGAATATTAAGTTGAGTTGATTAATAACTGTTTGATTGGTGGAAGAGATGAAGTTGAGTTGATTAATATTACTGTGTTTTGATTGGTGGAGTGGAGAGATGAAGTTGAGTTGATTAATATTACTGTGTTTTGATTGGTGGAGTGGAAGATAGTTCAGTTGATTACTGTGTTTTGATTGGGAGTGGAATAGATTAAGTTGAGTTGATTAATATTACTGTGTTTTTGGATTGGTGGAGGAAGAGATGAAGTTGAGTTGATTAATATTACTGTGTTTTGATTGGTGGAGTGGAAGAGATGAAGTTCAGTTGATTAATATTACTGTGTTTGATTGGTGGATGAGATTGTTGAGTTGATTAATATTACTGTGTTTTGATTGGTGGAGTGGAATAGATTAAGTTGAGTTGATTAATATTACTGTGTTTTGATTGGTGGAGTGGAATAGATGAAGTTGAGTTGATTAATATTACTGTGTTTTGATTGGTGAGTGGAAGAGATGAAGTTCAGTTGATTAATATTACTGTGTTTTGATTGGTGGAGTGGAATAGATTGTTGAGTTGATTAATATTACTGTGTTTTGATTGGTGGAGTGGAAGAGATGAAGTTGAGTTGATTAATATTACTGTGTTTTGATTGGTGGAGGAATAGATTAGTTGAGTTGATTAATATTACTGTGTTTGATTGGTGGAGTGGAAGAGTTAAGTTGAGTTGATTAATATTACTGTGTTTTGATTGGTGGAGTGGAAGAGATGAAGTTGAGTTGATTAATATTACTGTGTTTTGATTGGTGGAGTGGAAGAGATGAAGTTCAGGATTAATATTACTGTGTTTTGATTGGTGGAGTGGAATAGATTAAGTTGAGTTGATTAATATTACTGTGTTTTGATTGGTGGAGTGGAAGAGATGTTGAGTTGATTAATATTACTGTGTTTTTGATTGGTGGAGTGGAAGAGATGAAGTTCAGTTGATTAATATTACTGTGTTTTGATTGGTGGAGTGGAAGAGATGAAGTTGAGTTGATTAATATTACTGTGTTTTGATTGGTGGAGTGGAAGAGATGAAGTTGAGTTGATTAATATTACTGTGTTTTGATTGGTGGAGTGGAAGATGAAGTTGAGTTGATTAATATTACTGTGTTTTGATTGGTGGAGTGGAAGATGAAGTTCAGTTGATTAATATTACTGTGTTTTGATTGGTGAGTGGAAGAGATGAAGTTCAGTTGATTAATATTACTGTGTTTTGATTGGTGGAGTGAATAGATGAAGTTGAGTTGATTAATATTACTGTGTTTTGATTGGTGGAGTGGAAGAGATGAAGTTGAGTTGATTAATATTACTGTGTTTTGATTGGTGGAGTGGAAGAGATGAAGTTGAGTTGATTAATATTACTGTGTTTTGATTGGTGGAGTGGAAGAGATGAAGTTGAGTTGATTAATATTACTGTGTTTTGATTGGTGGAGTGGAATAGATGAAGTTGAGTTGATTAATATTACTGTGTTTTGATTGGTGGAGTGGAAGAGATGAAGTTCAGTTGATTAATATTACTGTGTTTTGATTGGTGGAGTGGAAGAGATGAAGTTGAGTTGATTAATATTACTGTGTTTTGATTGGTGGAGGAAGAGATGAAGTTGAGTTGATTAATATTACTGTGTTTTGATTGGTGGAGTGGAAGAGATGAAGTCAGTTGATTAATATTACTGTGTTTTGATTGGTGAGGAATAGATGAAGTTCAGTTGATTAATATTACTGTGTTTTGATTGGTGGAGGAATAGAAGTTGAGTTGATTAATATTACTGTGTTTTTGATTGGTGGAGTGGAATAGATGAAGTTGAGTTGATTAATATTACTGTGTTTTGATTGGTGGAGTGGAATAGATGAAGTTGAGTTGATTAATATTACTGTGTTTTGATTGGTGGAGTGGAATAGATATGAACTGATTGAAGGGATGATTTAAATTCTTCCATCAACTCTAAAAAAAAAATATGAAAATTCACTGATAATATTAATAATTTTTCAAAGATTAATAATAACAATAATAATATTTTAATTATAAAAAATAGGAAATTAGGGAAATACTTTTATTAATAGGAACGCATTAAGGCCTTGTTTATAATCAGTACAGGTAAGCGAGGAGGCAATCCGGGTCATGCAATACTTCCTACTTTATTAAATCCGGGTCAGCAGATTTTATTAGTGAGACGAAAAATGCGTAATGAAGTATTTTATTACAGGTTTTATAATGATAGAAAAATACAGTAAGGAAAGCTATTTGTGTGGTGTGTGTGTGTGTGTGTGTGTGTGTGTGGTGTGTGTGTGTGTGGGTGGGGTGTGTGTGTGTATAATAATAATAATAATAATATAACGGTTTATTGAAAGAGCTTGGCAGCCGAAGGCTGAAAATATACAGTTACATATTTGGGGAATGGGTTACGAATTACAAATAATATACAAGGACATAAGTGACACAAATAAGACATATAGTAACTTAGATGGGGATCAGCTCAAACTACAGTTCATTTCAACATAGTGACAGTGTAGGGAGCAGTGTTTACTGGGAGGAATACACTGATTTATTACATGTTATTGATAATTTCAATGGTTGGGACTGGGCTGTTCTTATAGCGATCAGTTCAGCACGTATGGGCTGGATGCGGTTGTGGTGTCGAACAGCAATTCTCGGACAGGGGATCTCAGGTGGTAGTAGGGCCGGTGTCGGGATGGTGTAGAAGCTTACCAAATTTGCAGATGAGGCCGTGGTGATGGTCAGTGAGAGTCGAAAGGGTCAGTGTGTTGAGCGCTTGATATGTGGAGTAGGAAGGGAGAGATGTGTGGGTGTGTGTGTGTGTGTGTGTGTGTGTGTGTGTGGACGCCATAGACAAACACTTACTAATATTAAGATTATTTCCATCAATACCTGAGATCAATGAAATGATTTAACCCTTGAGTACATTATTTTAACCCTTGAGTACAAGATTTAATCTTGAGTATGATGACTTACTGTCCTGAGTCATCATAGACAAAGATTCAGGTCATCGTTTAGTGGCTAAGATTACACTCAAGGGCCAAGATTGTACTCAAATGGCAGAAGTTATCGTGCTCTAGGGGTTAAATTATCGTACTCAAGGGGTCAAGTTATAGTACTCGAAGGGCGTAAGTTATCGTGCTCAAAGAGTTAAGAATCCATTTCTGAAAGATTAATAGTAGTTAAGTCTCTCTCTCTCTCCTTTCCCTCATATTCTTGCCTCCCTCCCTATTTTTTCTCTCTGTCAATCAAATCATCTTGCCTTTCACCTACCTTACTCCCTCTCACTCTCTCTCCCTGGCTGGTCTGGGCTGGGTCTCTCCCTGGCTGGTCTGGGCTGGGTCTCTCCCTGGCTGGACTGGTCTGGGCTGGCCCCTCCCTGGCAGGACTGGTCTGGGCTGGTCCCGTCTCTCCTGGCTGGACTGGTGGGTCTCTCGACTGGTCTGGGCTGGGTCTCTCCCTGGCTGGACTGGTCTGGGCTGGGTCTCTCCTGGCTGGACTGGTCTGGGCTGGGTCTCCCCTGGCTGGACTGGTCTGGGCTGGCTCTCCCTGGCTGGACTGGTCTGGGCTGGGTCTCCCCTGGCTGGACTGGTCTGGGCTGGTCTCTCCTGGCTGGACTGGTCTGGGCTGGCCTCTCCCTGGCTGGACTGGTCTGGCTGGGCTCCCTGGCGGACTGGTCTGGGCTGGTCTCTGGCTGACTGGTCTGGGCTGGCCTCCCTGGCGACTGGTCTGGCTGGCTCCCTGGGGACTGTCTGCTGGGTCTCTCCTGGCTGGACTGGTTGGCTGGGTCTCCCTGGCTGGACTGGTCTGGGCTGGGTCTCTCCCGGCTGACTGGCTGGGCTGGGTCTCTCTGCTGGACTGGGCTGGGTCTCTCCCGGCTGGACTGGTCTGGGCTGGGTCTCCCCGGCTGACTGGTCTGGGCTGGGTCTCCCTGGCTGGACTGGTCTGGGCTGGGTCTCCTGGCTGGACTGGTCTGGGCTGGGTCTCCCTGGCTGGACTGGTTGGGCTGGGTCTTCCCTGGCTGGACTGGTCTGGGCTGGCCTCCCGCTGGACTGGGGCTCCGGCTCGGGACTGGTCTGGGCTGGCCCTCCCTGGCTGGACTGGTCTGGGCTGGGTCTCCCTGGCTGGACTGGTCTGGGCTGGCCCTCCTCGGTCTGGGCTGGGTCTCCCTGGCTGGACTGGTCTGGGCTGGGTCTCCTGGCTGGACTGGTGCTGGCCCTCCCTGGCTGGACTGGTCTGGGGTCTCCTGGCTGGACTGGTCCGGGCTGGGTCTCTCCCTGGCTGGACTGGTCTGGGCTGGGTCTCCCTGGCTGGACTGGTCTGGGCTGGGTCTCCCCGGCTGGACTGGTCTGGTCCGGCTGGATGGTCGGGCTGGTCTCCCGGCTGACTGGTCTGGCCTCCCTGGCTGGACTGGTCTGGGCCTCCCTGGCAGGACTGGTCTGGGCTGGCTCTCCCTGGCTGGACTGGTCTGGGCTGGGTCTCCTGGCTGGACTGGTCTGGGCTGGGTCTCCCTGGCTGGACTGGTCTGGGTCTCTCCTGGCTGCTGGGCTGGGCTGGGTCTCCCGCTGGATGGTCTGGGTCTCTCCCTGGCTGGTGCTGGCTGGGTCTTCCCTGGCTGGACTGGTCTGGGCTGGGTCTCTCCTGGCTGGACTGGTCTGGGCTGGGTCCTCCCTGGCTGGACTGGTCTGGGCTGGGTCCTCCCTGGCTGGACTGGTCTGGGCTGGGTCTTCCTGGCTGGACTGGTCTGGGCTGGGTCTCCCTGGCTGGACTGGTCCGGGCTGGGCCTCTCCCTGGCTGGACTGGTCTGGGCTGGGTCTCTCCCTGGCTGGACTGGCTGGCTGGTCTCTCCTGGCTGACTGGTCTGGGCTGGGTCTCCTGCTGGCTGGTCTGGGCTGGGTCTTCCCTGGCTGGACTGGTCTGGGCTGGGTCTCCCTGGCTGGACTGGGCTGGGCTGGGCCCTCCCTGGCTGGACTGGTCTGGGCTGGGTCTCCCTGGCTGGACTGGTCGCTGGGTCTCCTGGCCACCCACTTCCAGTGTTATTGATCCAGTTCGCGGCTCAATGTTGGTCGACTGAAGCCTTGTTATATCCCCACCACCGACACTTATTAGCTGTAGCCTTCCTCCTCCTCCTCCTACTACTACTACTACTACTACTACTACTACTACTACTACTACTACTACTACTAATACTAATACTAATACTACTTTTTTTACTACTACTACTACTACTACATTACTACTACTACTACTACTACTGCTTAAGCTTGACATACTACACCCCAACACACACACACACACACACACACACACACACACACACACACACACTATAACAGTTCTCAGTAGACCAGAATTAGCATCAACGTTATATAAATCGACTGTGAATGTAAGACCAGGTTAATCCCCGCGTTACCCCGAGTCTCAGGTAACTCAGCTCTCTCACGCACACGGTAAAAATACTTCGAGTTTGACCTTGAGGAGCTGAGAGCAGATGTTGTGTAAACCTTGGAGTTATAGAGACGAGGAGGATGTTGACGGATTACTGGGAGAGGATGAGAGGAGGATGAGAGAGAGACAGAGAGAGACAGAGATAGACAGAGAGACAGAGAGAGAGAGACAGAGAGAGACAGAGAGAGAGACAGAGAGACAGAGACAGAGAGAGAGAGAGAGACAGAGAGACAGAGACAGAGAGACAGATAAGAAAAATGAGAGAGATTATTATTCATATTGTACAGATAAAATATAACAGGACAGGTGATAGACAGAGAGACTGACAGAGAAACTAACTGAAAGAGACAGACCAACAGAGGGAAGAACAGGAAGAGCAATGTCACACATACACACACACACACACACACACTGGACAACGTAACAAACCACAGATTCAATAAACCTTTTCTTTTTCTTTTTTTTTGCAAGAGTCAACCATTTTCCTCATCATTTTTGGTCAAAGTCTTTACTGTGAAGCTTCTGAGCGGGCGGCCATAGGCGACTCCCTGGCCTTTACACCCCCCGCCACCCCTTCCTTGTATAACAAACAACAACAACAAGTTTCTCTATCTCGTGTTGGATAAAAAGAAGAAAATATAAAACCAAATATTACTCGGAAATACAGAATATTTTATCATATTTGTCGCCATTAGAGTGACGAATTTGTAGCTAAATTGGTGTTTAACTTGTGCAGAAAACGTGAATAACACAAAGTTGATTATTAAACACTAAATAATTATGTAAATGTGGTAAATGATACTGAGGAGAGTTATTATTATTATTATTATTATTATTATTATTATTATTATTATTATTATTATTATTATTATTATTATCATTATTACTATTATTATTATTATTATTATTATTATTATTATTATTATTATTATTATTATCATTATTACTATTATTATTATTATTATTATTATTATTATTATTATTATTATTATTATTATTATTATTATTTTCAAGTATAAATGAATGTGGTAATCCAACACTTGATGCCTCTGATGAGTAATGAAAGTGATGGAATATTATTATTGTAGATTCGAGTCAAATTTATAGTGTAAATGGTGGTAAGTTAGGTTAGTTTAGTTTAGGTTAGGTTAGGTTAGGTTAGTTTAGTTTAGGTTAGGTTAGGTTAGGTTAGGTTAGGTTAGTTTAGGTTAGGTTAGTTTAGGTTAGGTTAGTTTAGGTTAGGTTTGGTTAGGTTAGGTTAGGTTAGGTTAGGTTAGGTTAGGTTAGGTTAGGTTATCATACATGAGATATGCGTCTGAGTATATAACTTCAATGTTGTATACAAGAAGAAAATGTATACCTGTTTGTATTGTGCTTGTATGACCACACCTGAATTATTGACTCATTTATGTCCTGACGTAGGGGAGGTGGGAGGGAAGGGGAGATGGTGGGGGGGGGAGGTGATGGGGGAAGGTTGGTGATAAGGAGGTAGGGGTGTTGGGGAGACTGTAGGTAAGAGGAAGTGGTGGAGAGGAGAGAGAGAGAGTGGACAAGAAGGGGAAGAGGAAGGAAATTGATGGGGGAGGAAAGAGGAGGTGGTGGTAGGGGAAGAACGCCTCATCCTATCACCCACATCAACTACCCTACCTAAGTCAACAAGCCACATCAACTATGCCTTAATTAAAACATAAAAAACAACAACAATTACAACAAAAGTAAACAATAATGACAAAGCACAATAACCACAAGGCCACAACACGCCTAGAGTGGATCTGAACGAACGACTTCGGTAGGATGTAAACACTAACTAAACAGCGACTTGAGGCGGATGTGAATCAATAATGTCAACAAAGGAGTTAATGGATGCGTCTTGGTCTCGTTCACATCCACTAACGTAAGACCCTGTAGAGTAAGATCTGACTTATAGGGACTGGCTCTTTGCTTCCAGATAATTGATTTCTTGTGTAAATTATTAACTTTTGCGTTTTTAAATGTGGTGGTCGTATTATCAGGGTTCGATAAACGATTAATCGACTCTGACATACGCAATTGACTTTGATAATATGTAGTTGACCTCGAAAATACGTAATTGACCTCGATAATACGTAATTGACCTCGATAATACGTAATTGACCTCGATAATACGTAATTGACCTCGATAATACGCAACAGACATAGCAAATGAAGACACTGAAACTACTAGATTAAAGAAAAGAGATACTGATTAATTAAAGAAAAAATATTGATTGTAGTGGTTGAAGAAAAGACTATCTAATAGGTGAAGAAAGTCTCCCAAGTTAATGAAGACAAAAGGTATACCTATAGTGGGTGAAGAAAAGGTATATGGCACGTGAGGAAGGCTATAGTAGGTCAGGTGATGAGGTAGTCAGTGCCTCTGAGTGCCACTCGTTGGCATTTTAACCGAGGCCAGACACAGCAGCTCGACCTTCTCTCTCTCTTTCTCTCTTTCTCTCCCTTGGTTAAAATTGTACGAGACATGACTTTTATTACTCTTATGAATACCTCTCTCTCTCTCTCTCTCTCTCTCTCTCTCTCTCTCTCATATACTCTTAAGATGAGATAGGGATGAGAGGTGAAAGGTTGAAGGACTCTTGTGATGCCAAATATTAGGGGAACTCTCGAGGGTGTTCTTGACGGAGAGAGAGAGAGAGAGAGAGAGAGAGAGAGAGAGAGAGACATAAACACCTTCTTGGTTACTCTCTAGACACAAATACCTCCTTAGTAACTCTCCTCCCTGACACATAAACACCCCTCCCTCCCTCCCTCCCTCTCACCTTCACTCCTCTCACCCTTCCCCCTCCCCTCCCTCCCTCTCACCCTTCCCTCCTCCTCCCTCTCACCTTCCCTCCCTCTCTTCCCTTCCCCTCCCTCCCTCCCTCTCACCCTTCCCTCCCTCCCCTCCCTCTCCCCTTCCTCCCTCTCACCCTTCCCCCCTCCCTCCCCTCCCCTCTCCACCCCTTCCTCCCTCCTCCCTCTCCACCTTCCTCCTCTCACCCCTTCCCCCCCCCTCCTCCCTCCTCTCTTCCCTTCCCCTCCTCCTCCCTCACCCCTTCCCCCTCCCTCCCTCCCTCTCACCCTTCCTCCTCCTCCTCTCACCCTTCCTCCCTCTCACCCTTCCCCCCTCCCTCCTCCCTCTCACCCCTTCCCTCTCCTCCCTCTCACCCCTCCACTCCCTCCCTCCTCAGTGGTTCACAACACTCGTTTAGCCAATAATAAATGAACATCTTTAGACCAGTCGCATAGTGTCGGAATTTATGGACACTGACACACACACTGAGCGGAGGTGTTGGCCACAATGGGTGATACATGGCCCACACAGTCAATATAATCGCCCGTCTCGTATACATAGTTTGTGGTTTTTCTTCTTTCGTCTGGCGTAGAAATGCCAGTGAACAGTATAGACAGTATTGTCTCTCTCTCTCTCTCTCTCTCTCTCTCTCTCCCTCTCTCTCTCTCTCAGTTTAAATTGAGTGAGAGAAACAAAAAGGTAGAGGTAGATTTAATTGTCTCACACCTGTTACCTACACCTGTCCATTGTTACTCCCTCCTACACACCTGTTACCTACACCTGTCCACCGTTACTACTTCCCCCATACCTGCAGCTGAACAAAAATCAATGTATGTTGTATTTTATTCTCTTCAGGTAGACACATAAATAAACTTGTTGTATAATGTATAGATAAATAATACAGTAAGATGTAATTTTCTTGTATACAGTTAAATAATAAAATACAATGGTGTTTTATTTTTTGTATATATGACGGTGTATTTTAGACAGAAAGAGACGGAAAATAGAAGGAAAAGGAGTAGAGACCAAAAGAGAGACAGGAAGTTGAGGGAGAGAATAGATAAATGAAGGAAAGAGAGAGAGAGGAAGTGAAGAGAGAGAGAGAGAGAGAGAGAGAGAGAGAGAGAGAGGGAGAGATTTTTATTTCAAGAGAGTAGAGTCTGCAAGTTGCATATCGCTTTACGCTCTTCCGCAGGTGAATATATTTGGCATTTTTTCGCTTTTATAGGCAAGTTTAAACACACACACACACACACACACACACACACACACACACACACACACACACACACACACACATTCATTTCCCCCACATACCCCCACACTTCCCACCATACATACATACATACATACACACACCAATAACTCACTTACATTACAATATATTTCAACTTATTCCCAAAAAATTAAAATTGATTGAAATTATTACACCACAACTCACCTCCACCAATGATTAATATTTTCACCTGATAAATATAAACCCCCCAAAAAACAAAAGAAATAACAATAGACTTAATACTCATGCGGGAATATTTTGTAAATATTAAAAAGAGTTTTACCACAAGATAGACAATTGAGTTATATTTTCATCTCGTAAAAAAAAAATATATATTATGATTCATTTTCCTGATTTCGTGTTATTTTGGGGATGTGATTTTCCGCCGCTGTTGGTTTTGAAAGAGGTGTGTGGGTGGTGTGTGGGGTGGGGGTGTGTGTGTGGGGTGGGGGTGTGGGGTGTGTGTGTGGGGGTGGGGTGGTGTGGGTGTGTGG